TTACTGCAGTGAAATGGATGAATGTCCCAGTTCAGCCTGTAGCAGGTAATAACATTCAAAGATGATATTTGAAGCACACAGAAGGCTATTTACATTCTCATTAGGGCTCACACTTTGTCCTGTTACAGCAGTGGAAGAAAACACAATTCAGCATTTGACTTAGGGTGACTGATCACACCTACCCACAGGTGAAGTAGATCTGTATCTCTACCCATCAGGTAGAGAGGTCATACTTTTAAAAGTGGCAAGTTTTTCAGAAGCAATTCCATGAAAGCAGCTTAAGAGGCCAAGCACTGCGGAGAAGACAGATTCGACAACTGAGGCCTCAAACTGGATCCATCTCATGCCTCTGTGAAAGACTTCTTGTGTGACTTAACCCTTCTTTTGACACCTGATATGACCAAGCAGACTTCTCAACCTAGCAAGGATAACATCAGGACTGAGCATTTACTGCTAGACATACTTAGGGTTTGTGATGATGGGAAGCTTCAGCCACTCCTTAATGAGCCACAACTGGCACTGAATACATGCAACTATCTCCTTACCCATATGACATCAAAAAAGAAAAAAACAACACCACAATCCTTCTGCATCAGCTCTGAATCCAGCCCCAGATGATCAATTTTGGATTCCCATGCTTTCAGTAAAAAGTGTCTAAACAGGTTTCATCCAGTTAAGTGGTCATAAAAGTATCACCATTAAACATCAGCAACAAATATTCTGTCAGGGAACAAAACAAATAAAATACCTCAGAAATCAGAGCTTGCCCATAACAACTGCAAAACAAAACAAAAACAAAAACAACAACAAAAAGAAACCAACCCAAAACAAACGAACAGTCTGGTTCAGTAGAACAGCAAGTTTGGGGAGATTGTTTGTTTTTGTTTCTTGAGACACATAAGGTTTGCTGGTGATGCACTGTCACATTTCCCAAATGGCTCAATAAAAGGGAGGGTTTCTATACGCAGTGACTCACCACTCATAGGGCCATCCTGCAGAGAAAAGAATGACAACACAGAAAGAGATTCCAGTCCTAAGCTCCCATTAAGAAAAAAAAGAAAGAAGAAAGTTAAACAATGGCCAGTCCAACCCATTTATTTAATTCATAGGGACTGACTGTGCAGAAACATTTTGTGTTCTAATCTTTTATTGAAGGTTTGGAAAACAGGAGCACTAAGGTGCCTTCTTAGCCATACTCCCTAGCCTACAAAAACCTTCAAAGCAAAACCCCAAGGAAAGCATACAGACCTTATCAGAAAAGGGTTTGTGATGGTGTCCACCACACCTGGCCTAGCTAACACACGTGACCTAACCAACAGGTTAGGTTGACTTTGCCCATTTCTCTATCTAGGCAGCTACTGCTGAATGCTTTCTGAAACAAAGAACTTAACTACCAGTCAAAATTGTAACTATAATCAAGAATAAGGAAAATAAGTCTCATCTATTAGAGCTTTTCTGGTCCCTCCTTTGTTTGAAAGCTTCATCCTCACGTTGCTGCCCAGCACTGGCTGCTGAGTACACCCCACTGGGCAGAAAATGGGCTCTGCAGCCCTGCAGGCATGGCATGTATCACCAGGACTCTTGGCTAGCACACAGATGTGCAGAACTGTAATCTGCTGTAACTGAAATACAGATATCCATGGGCACCCCAGAAGGCAGGGAGGGGAGCATCGTTCTCATTTGAAGAAGGGGGAAGCAAGCAAAGCCCCTGAGCAAATTTTTATACATCTTCCCTACCTACTGCTTCCTAGCAGCTAGGAGAATGCCCAGCTGGCTTTAAATGACAATGTGCACCATTGGTGACAACCAATGTTGCCAGAGCCAATTTACAGACAAGCATTTTTATGTTGCTCATGGTATTTGGGTGGGATTTTCCTATACACATTCCACACACATAAACAGTATTTCAGCAAAGCTTCCAGGACTAGAAATCTAACCCAACACTGCATCCAGGCTGGACTGGTCAGACACTGCATCAGTGCCATCGCTATGGGAACAGGGCTACGTGGAGGAGTCTGAAAACTCTCTGGCCAGTGAAGATCATATGAAACTCTCTTGATGCTTCTTCTTTAATCTCCCAGAAGACCTTTCACTGCTGCTACTCCTTGAGAAGGAGATTTCCTTTCTTTAAAAGAGGCAACTAAACTTCAGCACCTACGAGCTATATTATCAGAGATGTTACAAGAGTGAGAAGAATCTGAACTTCCTTCAGAGCTTGTCCATTAATATTACTGAGTCTGCTTCATACCTATTTACTAAGATGAGAACTACCAGTGAGCTGTGGTTTATAATCCTGGTGATGATTTAGAGTGCCACGAGGGCAGAATGCTAATCTATTTCCCATCCTCATAAAACAGAATGGTTTCCCAGCAAAAATTTTAAGAACAAAACCAATGACAAGCCTTGCTCACAAAATATTAACAACCTGCATATTGAGTTACTTTTCCAATATTATTCAAAATTCAGACTAAAACCTTACAAACAATTCAGAGAAAAAAAAGGAATCTACTATTTATGAAGGCAATTAAACGTGCAATCACTTTTCTTCACTGATAGAAAGAAATAAAAATCAGCCTTGGAATCACCAGCCTGCCACATGAATGTGAAGGGTTTGTGGTGTTGTCATATCAGAGGGAAAGAGTCAGGTTCAAGTCTCTTTAATTTAACAGAAAGAAAGCAGATTGTAACCTGTGACAGAAGTTCCTGAATCATAAGCTACTGTTCAAATAGGAAAAACACCCATGGCAACAGTCAATGGAAGATTACAACTGAAACGGCCAATTGCTCACCGAGCAGGAACTGCTTTCTCATAAGCCAGCACACAGAAATGCAATGCCAAAGATCTGCAGCTGCATGCAATTCTGCAAGCACTGCACACAGAGACTTGTCCCCCAGTCCTTACTCCTAGACAGCACTGAAGCATTTCCCTCACACTGTAAACTTCTACCATAGATTTAGAGTATTCTGATCTGAAAACATGCTTTACTCTCCTTAATAAGAAGTCTAATTAGATAAGCACAGAAGTCTTTTGTTCTTCACAGCTGCAAACCACCTGTATGTGAAAGGATGGTACTGCATTTTAGACATAGGGAAACAAGACAGGTACTTTGTACCATGCACTGGATTTGCATCCCATGAAGCAGCCAGGGTCATGCTTATCCTCTATGCACACAGGGAGCCATGAAAATCCCACAGACCATGCACGTGTTTTTGCCTCAGATCCATGCTGAATTAGAACTTGCAGCTATACCATCACAAAGAGCTTTTATACATCCATCTTTCATGCATCATACCATGGCCAAAACACACATGCATTTCACACATGGATTTAGCACACATCTTTTATATTAAGATATAGCCAGGCTGCTGGATAAAGGAACTCCTTCTATTCTAGCTGTATTTTTTCATACAATGTCTTCCCATCTGGCCTCTACCAGAGCTTCCTTTGGAAGATTATACTTCACTGCTCACCAGCCTCACACTTTCTTGACTCCTCTCCCTTCAGCAAAAATTGGAACTAGAGTGTGTCTTTCATCCTCCTCCATGAAAAACCTCACAGAAAGGCAGAAACTTCATTGATCTCAACAGAACAGACTTTCTACAGTGAGGGCTTCATAGGAAAGTTGTACTTACAAGCAGTTTTCTGTCATAATTCAAATATGTTCTTTTCCACGGTCCAATTATTTTCTAATAAAGGCAGATTCGTCTGCACATTTATTTGTAATTCTGCTCTATCCCCACCCCCAAACTTAACTTGGAACAGATCCTGCCCCAGGCCCAGCTGCAGAGAGGCTGGAAGGAAGGGCACTGTACTGTTACATCAAGGTCTCAGTCCCTAGACCATGCTAACCAGGGCTACCAAGCTCCCAGCCCACCTCTGCTCCTGCCAATGAGAAACCTCTGCCCAGCTGAACCCTCTTAATTGGTCTGCATTTCAGTAAAACCAGGAAACTGCCATACATTGAACAGTCACCAGGCCTCCAGCACTACTGGTGTGGGCACCTAACCATGAGCACTTACTAATATGCCCTCTTGGGGAAGGAGGATTAGCAAGAACACAAGCATCACAAATCACAGACCTTGAGTTCCAGCCTCAGTTCTGCCCAACAGCAGCATCCAATTACTCATTGCTCCTCCACACCATCCCTGTCTGCCACAAGTAAATACTGCAGACAACATGCACCACTGCCTTTGTTCTGCACGGGGAAAGAGGAGCTGGGGAAGAGAGTACAGAAGGGCAAACTCTCAACTAATTAAATGCACAGGCTTTGCAGTAATGGTACAGGCTGGACATGTGGGTGGAAGGTATGCACTGCCTTCATTTTCCAGATTCTTCCTTTTCTTTGGTCCCATGTCAGCAATGCTGCATGTACACCAGCTTTTGATTTTTATGCTTTTGTGGCTTAGGGCCATTCGGGTTGCTATATACACAAACATACAACATAGCTGTTTCACAACAAAGATTTTTGTGCACTAATACTGCAGAGGGTTTGCCGTCAGAAAGTACAACTGCAGACAAGAAAACCAGTTCTAGCAACAAATTGATACAAAGAAGTGTTATTTGAAAAACAAACAGAAAGGGGAAAGAATGGGAACATGAGGAGAAAGGCAATACCAAATTCTTTTGCAGATATTTATTAAACAAAAGGACAGAACGGATGCACTTGTCCAAATTATTTTCTGATGTAACCTCATAGGCTGCAGAGGAAGAGTGAGAATGAAAGTATCTCCTTTGGAAACACATTATCTGTTCACCCTATTCAAGTACACAGGCAAATCACCTTTAAAACAACAAATAAGAATTTTTTTAAAAAAGTCATTATTGGATTCAGCCAATTCCAGATTGATCAGCTTGTCTATATTAATCTCATTTTCTCATAAATGAGTCACTAGAAACAGAGAAACAGGAAGGTTCATTTTGTGGAAATATTAAAAAAAAAAAAAAAAATCAGATTTAAAAAATGATAAAGCTTAATTTAAATAATTCAAACCTGCAAACCTGGGCCAATCATGCAGATGAGTAAACTTCAATGGGGCATCATTTCTCAGAGTAGGCAGAAATGACCAGAACCAAGTGGAAAAAACAGTGTGAACACAGTCTCAGATGATCCATAGATGTTTATCTTTTCGCTTGCCTTCACAAGAACAGGAACACTGGGCATCCTGGGTTCTACTGAATCTTCTTTTATCCAGGTTTGGTCACATTTCTCTTGTCCAGAGAAACCTGACCAAAGCTTACTCAGGATTGTTCAGAGGAACAAAGAAGCATTTCAAGGGCCATCGCTATACATTTGTATTTGTTCCAAGAGGGATTTTTTTTTCTTGAAGGAAGAGCATAACAAACTTAGGAGGTCAGGCAACACAGTCTGCAAGTTGGATCTCTCTTTATTTCGTTTCCACATTGCATATGACAATGAAAAGTTGTGACATTCTAACTGGTTCCAGACTCCATCAGGCTGTCCACAATGAATTAGAAAACAATAAAATCCAGATGCTTTCTCAAGTAAACACTTCCCTTCTTAGCAAAGTGAACCAAATCCGAAGGATACTGCTGCAAGTATTGTTTTTTTTGCTAGCATTATTATTTTATGTGAAGGTATCTTCCTCTTTGCTGGCACTTCAGTGTTCTTCCAACACAGTAAAACCTCTGGTGCTCTTTTCCGGCATCTCTGGTACTGAAAGCCAAATTCTCAAGAAAACTTCTCACTTACATGAATGACTTTAATTGTAGATATTTAACAAAGCCTACATCTAAAATAACACTGTCAAGTTAAATTGGCCCCTGAAACATAGTTTGCAACAAGGTAGAGGAAGGTGAAAAGATTACTCCTGCAAAAAATGGCAAGACAACTTCTAAAGCAAAAAAAAATTGTGTCCCAAACAAGCAACATGCAATTGCTTATCAGAAAAGAAAAATATACCTAATTCTTGTTAGCCAGGCTGTGAAGTACAAAAGCAAAACTGAAAAAAAGCCACAAAAGCTACAATTAAATTCACTGTGTGAAACCGTTGGCTTTAATCTTTTAAAGCTCTTATTTAATAACACATGTAAGGACTTTTAAACAAATTATAAATATTAACCCTACATAGAACTGTGTTTTTAAGAAACACTTCAAACGTGAAATTCCAATTACAACACAAAGCAATTTCCTTAGTAAATCAAAATCAAAACCAGAACAGAGACCTCCAAACCTCAGCCTGCAGATGTTAATGGGTTACCAAACGTTGACAAGAATATGAGCGACTCAGAGTTGAATCCTTCAGTACCTAGAACCACTCAAAGAAAGGGATTTCCACAGAAGGTTTTTCTAATCCCATTTTTTCTCAGTCATAAGTGCAGTTCAATTTTCATTGCCCTTTAAGATCTCCTGGGCTATAATGAAGAGAAAAAAAAAAAAGATGCTGACCATTTGCATAGCCAGGTTCCTTCCATTACTGCCCAGCAGCACAGCAGACAGCCATCTAGCACTTAGCAGCAACAACGGGTATCTGTCTCGTGGCAGACAGTGGTTTCATTCCCCTTTGCCATGGATGTGACTTTCCATAGGTCCCCCCACTTTAACCCCCACTTAGCTTCAGCAGTGATCTGGGTGAGGGCAGAAGCACTACAGCAACCTCTCTTTAAAATACAGCCTCTTGTAAGGTCTGCAGAAGGAACTGTTTGATCCAGAAGCAGCTCTGAGAGATTAAACAATTCCATACCTACTCATCCTCCAATATCTGAATGCATTTTCAAGCTTAAAGGATTGACAGGAGTTTTTTGCTTTTTGATTTAGGATCTTTAGCTAATATGCATCAGTCTGCCTAACGGGGGAACAAAACCCAGCAACAACAAAACTTATCCCTGATCTTGTCATCTGGAAAGCCAATGAGAGATTTCACTAAAAAGGGATCAAAAGGATCTAACTGCATTTAACATACAGTATGTATCCTGACAGCAGTCAGGGCAGTCTCAAAAGTCAAGCAGAACTTTCCTTTTTACTGTACATTTTCCTCCTGGAAGAAAAAAATCCAACCACATTTTAAAGAAATACTGAAAAACAGCAGTAAGATATGAGTAGGATGAGGCAATCCTTGGTGAAATCTGAAAAAAGTAGTCACTGCTCCATGCTTAATGACATCAGAAGAGCTGAAAATACTTTTGCCTGCTAAAACCTGACCTCCAGCCCCTAGATTTTTCTCAAACAGCTGCCCTTGCTACCACAAATAGCTTCTTACACCCCTCTCGCCCCCTCAGCTCTGGGTAGCACTGGGGCAGAATCTCTCCCTTCTCTGAGTCCACATTACAGTACAGGAAGAGAGGCTGTGTTTGGGACAGCACTTACAGAAGAAAGAGAGGCCCTGCTGCAATTTCAGATTGAGGAGGCTTTCAAATTACTTCATGTAAGATGTTAGATACTCTCAGCTCTAAGTCTTGCAAACTGTTGAAAACAGCTTCTTCCTTTATCACTTGTTCTGATAAAGTGATTTGGAATGCCTTAAAAAAAAATCCTTGAGAGGAAAAAGGGGATGAGACATTCTTTACAGACGGCTTAGATAAAGGGAATATAAAATTCTTCTGACCAGGCCACATCACAAAGGTTTATTTGATAAAAGCAACATGTTGATTTATTCCATTCCTTTCCCCTGCTGCACAAGCTGTGAAATACAGGCAGATGATGCAATCCCTTTGAGAGAGAAAAGGAAAAAATAAAATAAAATAAATAAAAATTTTAAAACAAGTAAGCAAGCAGGCAAGAGACCGTTTCTCAGCACAGCATATCGCTGGCATGCCCAAGGTTATGCAAAGCACTAATGCAAATGCTAGAGGGCCACAGGAGTGAGTGCCTGAGCTCACTGCACTGCAGGCAGGGCTGGGCGTGGGGGCTGCAGCCCCTCCGACGCATGGAACGCTCCGCAGGCTGCAGCCAGGCAGCAGAGCACCAGCAACAGAGAAGCAACTTGAAAACCAAACAAAGCTGTCATCACCATTTGTGTTTATTAAAAACAGAATCAAAAGCAGCGCTGGTGATTTCTCCTAACTAAAGACTAGCAGAAAGTCTTTTGTTCTGGTGTCTGAACTCATCAAACATGCTTACCCTTTAAAAACAAAACAAAACAAAAGCAAAGGAAGGAATTACAGCGTCTAAAATTGTGGGTGATCCTAATTGATTTCTGCATAATACATTTTCAAGACTAAATCACTAAAATTTATCTGAATTCAAGGTATTTTTTTCTCCTTGGAAGTGAGATATTCATTATAAAATGTTAATTTACATGTGAAATATCATAAAATTTGATTAAAATACAGCATTAGAGGATATCACAACATGAGTTCATTTTTTCAGTGTAAGAAACGATTTTAATATAATTTATGTATCTATTATCTACAAACGGGGCCAATTAAATTCCTCATGAAGCCTGGAAAGGCTTGCTTTATTCCTCTGTGGCTTTGAATTAAACAGTATCTAGGGTACGGCTAAATCCTCCCACTTCTCCCATTCTCATTTTATTGCAACTTGAATCTCATGATATTTTAGCCTTTTGGAGAAAACCACCCTGGTTCTGGTTTGAAAGAAACAATTCAAGGCAATCAGTTTCTGTAACATTAAACAAAAGGTGCATTAACTTTGCTTAAAATCTACAACAGTTGAATCCTTCAAAGACCAGACAATATACTGAAAAACGAGCAATCAGACTCCATAAAAAAAAAATAGAAGAAAATCCTATGAACTTCTCTACAGCATGAGAACAACTAAGACCCAGATCATTCCAGTATTTCCAATTTCAAGCTAAGCACATTCATTTCAAAACTACAGTGTCTTCCTAGACTTCATCTCGCCTGTCACAGCCAATTAGTCAAGGGCAATTATACAGAAGAGCAGCACATAAAAAAAAAGAAAGATGAAAAAGAAAGTGGCTATAACAGCATAGATATCAAAGAACAATTATATCTTGGATATAAATTATGCCTTCTCTCAAAGAAATCCCATAGTCTACCCAGGAATCATCCCACCTGGCTCTGATGTGTGCTGAACAATGGCTAGACACTGACACAGCAGCCTGTGGCAGGAAGTGAAGAAGACCTTGGTGAGCTGAAATAATAGCAAAGGAAAACAGAGTACAGGGAACACAACACTCAATGACGTTCTTGTCCATTGAGCTTCATTACCAAGAGACCATGACAAAGCACAGAGGTATGTCCTAGACTGCCTGAAAATGCAGCAAGGTGCCATCTGTGGACAAGCCCTTCTTTCAGTCTATCTCCTGATGAAGGAATCAGCCCCAGTCTCCAAAGGTCAGACCAGTGGAGTAGGTGACTCAGGAGGACAATGGTACAGATTTTCAATTGTTCACCACCTCATGCTTCAACCCACGCTTTTCTATAGTAAGTGCATTAAAATATTTATAAAACATGTCAAAAAGCTTGCAGGGATGAAATCCCATCTGAAGTTATCACATCAGATCTTACTTTGTTGTACATTGAAATGTGTGGGGCTCTGCACAGAGCTAATGGCCAGCATCTTTGAGATCTGACTGGCAGGTATGCCAGCCCAAAGAGACCCAGCTTGAAGAATACTGGTTGTACCACTGCACATGCAATCAAATCAATGAACAAAATAAATAACATTTCCGTGAGAGAAAGCCTGACAGTGGCCAGAGGGTCAGATTGCAAATGATCTACTTGTACCTGATCTGGGCACTATTCTGCATTGGTAGTGCTGTTTAGGCACTTATAAACCTTTTTGGAAGAGTACACCCAGATCAGCCATTCTGAACTGAACAGTGGGACCTGAAAGCCTCCACCTACACTTCTGAAATGTTCTTCAGATCTGGATAGACCAGCCCTGCTGAATCCATCTCCAGACACCAGATAAACACTGTAAATCCCTTGCCACCACCCTGCCATAGAAGCATCAATCACATCATCGCTGAAGCAATTCCAAAAGTCTTCAGCACTGAAATTGCAGACACAACCTTAACTGACCCTGGTCTGACCTCTGTTAAACAGTACCAGGAACAAAATGGCTTTTGGTGTGTGCTGTGTCTGACTTGCAAGGGAGAAGGAGGATTTCTACTGCTTTGCAAAACCAGAAAGCAGAGGTACTGCATGCTCAGCCTCAGTGCTCCGGCAGTCAGGACACCGGCGATAGCAGCCCTTCCCAGGAGAGGGACCTCCGTGGCCAAGATGTTGGCTGTACCCTTGCATACCCTTTTATGGGAGCATAACTAAACCTCTATCCTTTTAAGCTAAGGGGATTGCAAAATATTTCCAAGTGTGAGCAAATGTCTTTTGGATGGGCCAGATCTCGTCATTCAAAATGAACTGTTAGAAGCCTTAGTATTTCAGGTTCTCTAATAGGCAAGGCAGAAGTTATTTAAATACATTGCACAAAGCAAAAACCTCATGTCATCTCTCACCTCAGGTATACAGAGCCTTTCCACTTCTCCATCAAGTGAAGAGCAGCTCTGGTTGAAGCATCCCTGGTTGGAACATGCTGCAGTCTCAGGGCTGAGTCTGGGATCTTTATTCACTCTATCTCACCAAGCAATGTCCACCACTGTTGTCTGTGAGCTACAGGTGTTCAGTATGACTAGATTTCTGGCTCTGGGCTTGCTTAGAGATCTTCAAGTTTATCAGAGACAATTTATGCAAGAACAGAAGAGAAGAGATATTTAAGCTTTCTCCCCAAATCTCTTCTCTCCCTTACACCCAACGGGATTACAAATAAAGCTGCCACAACTGGCATTGTTGCCCCTAGGGTGCTACTGATGGGCAAAAAGAAACCTGATTGTGAATGTCTCACCTCTCCTCATCCCATTGTATCTCCATAAAGCAAGATGTGTAGGACAGTTCCCATCCATTACAGAATACACAGGCTATGGCCTGTAATTAACTTAAAAAAAAAAAAAAAAAAAAAAAAAGATAAAAACCCAATTAGTCAAAAACTTGCTTGTTACTGCATACCAAGGTACAGGAGAGAGATTTTAAGAACTTCAGTCCAGAAATATTTCTGCAGTTCATCTTTTGAGGCATTGCTCTTAAGGAGATGCATAGCATGGCAGATATCAAGACAAAAAAGAAAGCTTTGAGGGCCTGCAGAATAGGGACCCGCTCATTTCTCCCCGATTTACATACTCCCAAATCTTAGATTCTAGTGTTATTAGATAAACAAATGAACAGATATCTTAACACCTTTCCTTTGCAACACCAGTATCAGAAATACAGAGGGATTGGTGGCAGCGACTGCTGTGGCCACAAGCCCTGTTCTTATCACCCTGTGGTGTTTAGGAGGCCCTTGCCTGGGTAGTGTTTCCAGTGGACAGAGTCCTTTTACTGCCATTACACTCCTTGCAAGTGAATTCCACACCAACATGTCTCTGCAGTTGAGAAAAATAGCTTAATGCCAAGGATTTATGTAACAGGTGTAAACAGTAAAGGAAATACTCAGGCCAACCTACCTACTCAGCCCCAAACCCATCACCAAGACAATAAAAACAAAGAAACTAAATAGGAAAAAAAAAATCCACTAATTCCACAAACACAGTGACTGCAGTGTTAAACAAACATGCCAAATTACCTTGTGAATTGCCAAGTGCTGTACTACTAGGTTTCCTCCTGCGCAGCATCAGTGCTGTGACTGCGGGTCTGGTTAAGATCACTGCCTTGAAAAATAAAACCTGCAAGATAGGCCACATGGTTCCTTCAAACAATAAACCATCTTCTGCCTAGTTTGAACATCAGTGACGTGCGCACAGGAGTAAACAGTGAGATTTCAGCCTCCTGCAGTCAATGACAAAAGAACTCACGTGTGTTGGCACGATCAGGATTTTACTCCAACCTTAATTTATGCTTATTTAAAGCAAGCAAAATGGCAACAAATACACCAACAACACAGCAAACACCCCCTGCTTGGGAAAAATATTCCGAAGACATGGTAATATTTATGAAGTCAAACCACGTAGCATTCTGTTCCCAACACAAACTCTGGACAAGCCACTTCAGTTTTCAGTGTTTCAGCGATCACAGCTGTCACTGGGGGACAAAACCACATCTTCACACTTTTTTTTTTTTTTTTGTACAGCCCATCCAAACCAAGAGGAAAAGTTTTATCCAGAGCTGCAGTCTGATATTGTTAAGTGTTGACAGTGAGTTTAATACGACCAGCAAAACTTGTCCACTTCCACAGAATTTTTTTCCTTTTCTTTTGTTTTACAGCTTGCTGAAACTGTGATAGTCCACATCTGGATAGTGTCTGGTTCAAGACAGACACCAAACAGAAAAGGCCATGTTTGGGGTTAGAGGCAGGCATTCATTGCACAGTGCAGAAGAGCTGTTTTGCAAAAACAGGGGTATGAGGGGAAGTGGGTTGTAACATTGGTGACATTTTATGCTGCTTTCTGAACCTCAAAGACCCAGTTCAAATTTAGTTTCTTGATCTTTCTTTTTCTCTGAACAGAGACTGTACCTCATAAAAACAATGAAACAGACCGTAAAGATTAAGTTATTTCAAATGTTTCCAACAACTACCATGTAATACGTATAAACAGAGAGTATGAAATGAATTCTGCAGGGATTGCCTTATCACACATAGCAGCCCGAAACACCCCTTGGTGTTACCACCTGGGCACAGCAGGAAAACCAAGTGGCAACACTGACAGAGGACACCAGCAAACAATGGAAATAACCACCATTAACAGAAAAATAAGCAGAGATCAGTGGAGGGTACAGATGAGGATGGAAACTACCATGCTATCCATAAAACCAGGGAGAGAAGCAGAATAAGGTGATGTTTTTTGAACTTCCAGATCTCCTACGTTAACAACATACTCTCTTTAAGCATGCTTGTGATCAGTTTCACTTATTGCCACAATTAATGAGTAATTACTTACTGCTGTAATGAACCATACTAAATTTTTTTGAAATCTGATGAGTTTAACAGCTGTCCAGTATGTAGAAGAAAAGCATTCAAACAAACAAACAAAAAACCACGGCAGTCTGCCTAATTTCTGGAAGAAGGTGTCAGAAATAAAGGCACCTCCTCCTTCAACATGGGCACATAGAGCCTCATGAACATGGGCACATGCTATGCATGTGAAGGAAAAACAAGTTTTCAGTGGCTGTTCCTGTGAGGGGGATGAACAAGAAAGAAAAAAAAGAGAGAGGAAACAAACAAACAAACAAACAAAACAAGCCAAAGCAAACCTCACAGAGGCAGACAAGCTGAAGGAACACAGGACGACTAAGCACTGGGCTTGTGGACCCCACTCCTGTCAGAGCACATTTTCATTTACAAATAAATAACATCTATTTGAGGATTTGTCCCACTTTCTTCAATTCCCTACCACCCCAAACATACACACCCACTGGTGCAGCAATATAGGATTTTGCATATTATTTGTTGACATGTGAGGCACTGTCAGAGACACAGCATTCTCTCCATCATTTACTTGTCCTTCATTGCCATACCTGGAAATTTTCACCTGTTCAAACCCAGGAAGGCAAATGATACTATTTGGTAAATGCGAAAAAGTTGCTTAGCGTTGTGAGAAATGTAAATGACAATACATCTAAAATGTTGAATAGCCATTACTCTAATGATTTGTCAGTGTCAGGGAGACAACTTTGGACATCTGAAATGTGGGGCTTGCATTAAAAGCAAACAAAAGCAGCTATATAACTCCTAATGTGCATAGAACTCATTATTCAAACATGCCTTACAAAGTCATTTTCCTCTCCCATGTGATTAAAAATACTCGAGGAACAAATGTGGCCATAAGACAGAACACCTCTGAAATCTGCTTCACAATGAACTGCATCACACTGCTCACAATTCTGCACATACCTGCTGACCGTGAATCAGTTAACGCCATCTCATTCACAAAGAACTTAACAGACAATAAAGTGAATTGTAAGAACAGAAAATCCCATGACAAAGGAAGTGCATTAGTAAGAATATTTAATATTCTACCCTTGTGGACAAGAACTAGGTCACAGTTTCTCCCACAGATATACCCACCAAAACGACGTAACATACACAATTATAAAATAAACTAAGCAATCAGGAGAGACAAAATCTAAACCCTGTTATTCTTGTTTCATTCCATAATAGATAAAAGAATCGAAGAAGAGATTGATACTACTGAATAAGAGCCATGTCATTTTCTCCCACATTATTCTTCATCATGACATACTGTGAGCAGAGATTAAATAGAAGCCCTGATAAGTTCAAATGATACAGCTATCAAGCTCAGGTGTTTCTAATAGGTCCTTCACAGTGGTATCTGGACTATTAAAAAAGAAGTAACACAAAGACTATAAAATAAGTGAGAGCCAGAGTTGAAGAGGAGGAGGTACTCAGAATAGCTTAACAGGATAACCACAGGGAAATGAGGATAGGAAGGAAGAGGCAATGCTAACATTGTGTTTAATTTTGTCTCCTCCCAGTCAGCAAAGCACATGGGGTCTGATTCATCTCTTCTTTCTATTAGTATAAATGATAAGGGACCACACAGAAGATCATGAAGCTATTCCATTGTGAGTCAAGTAGAATTTGAAGTAGCCACAGATCTCTCCAAATTATCCTCAGGCTGAAATGAAAGTCTTTTCTCCACAATGGCATAGTGAAACCTTGGCTTTATTGGTTCCCCATCTGAGTGGTGATTCAGGAGGTCTCTGCACAGCTAAGCAAGAGAGCAAGGCTACCACTCCATTAGTGCCTCCATTGAGAGCAAACACACCACTCACGTGCAAGCCTTATCAGACATCTGAGAATCCACCAACCTGCAGACCGTGCTTGATCTTCTCCAAAGACACATTTCCATGGGGAACCACTTCTCTATTATTTCAAAATCTGCTGTCTGTGGGTCTGGTTGTCCTTCAAATGGGATGGTGTAGGAGCCATTCAAAGCCTGTTCCTGTCACAGTCACTTTTTGTTACTGTTCCCACTCACAGTCAGTAAAAGAAGGGGATCCCTCTGAGATGCCAGCAGAAGATTACCAGCAGCCTGATGTTTAATAGCAGCTCTGCTTCTAACTACTACATATGCTTTTTTCTCTGTGAAATGTGATTTCTTTAGGATAGTGATTAGAAAGAATTGTGTTTGCTGAAGAACCGCTACAGTAATTGAGATAATACAAGCAAATTGTAATGTTAATATTATCTTCCATTCATAGATCTGAAGTTTAACGACTAAAACCTGGCAGCGCCCTGGGACAGTTGAAAAAAGAGGTTATCTTAGCTGTTAGAAAGGGGCAAATGAACACACTGATGGACTAAATGATGGTTCCTTCAAAAGCAGGAGTAGAACCTGTAGCTGAGGTTACAACCCCAGACCAACGGTTGCATGCTGCTCTTCTCAGTGTTATCATTTAATCAAGGCAATTCCATTACTTCTATCTGTGCCATCCAGAAAAGTTACACCAGAATAAAACAGCAAGACTCATTGGGTAGAGATATTCCATCGTGACTCCTGGAGTCAAAATACAATTCTTCATTTACCTTTGTCATTTGAGATATATTAAATCAGTCACTATTACACTGGAACAACTAAGTCTGCAGATGAAATGTTTTTAGCCATCCTGCTACAATTCTGCTAGTAAAACAAGCAAAATATACCTACCTGAATAAGCTCTTATCACCTCTGGTGATTCAAATCTAGTGAATTGACTGAATCAGAATTAAACTTCTTTCCAGATAAATTAACTTTTTTAGCGGTGTACTTTAGCCTGGGTGTTAAATTACTTGCCACTGTTGTATTGCATCTCCCTTACATGTACATACACACACATACATGATGCTAAGAGCCACTGCCACAGCAAACTTCTACCTGTACTTGCTGTGTGTCAGAGCAGGTTAAACTTGTGGAGCTTGTTGCTTGTCTCTGAGATCCAGTAACACTGTTGTGCTGACACTGAGCTACTCAAGAACAGAACAGCAGGAATCTACTTCCAATCCTATCACACGTAACCTGCCCACAATACCAAGCCTTGCCTGCGGCTCTGCTTAAACTCTTCTATTTACAGGTATCACTCTGCAACTTGAGGTGCTATGAGTCCACTGCATGTTGGGTCAATTGATGGGGAGCTTTTTGCTTCCCTTGTGTGGGAGGAAGACATGCTACGTGTCAGAAAGAAGTCCAACTATAGCATCAATACATGTCACCACGACGAGCCAAATTCAACAAAGAGCAAAGGACTTTTTTAGAGATATTTGCAGCTGGTGCATGTATTAGGCTCCTATGGTAGTTCAAAAGCATGAGAAAAGAAATGACATGAGGGGTTTCTGGGCTATCCCATGTCAGTAACACAGGAGAGGCTTTGCCTTCTCCTGCCTGCCCACAGCCAAGGCAGTCCTCTAGCAGTTGTGCACTTGCCATGGGGGGAGCTGAGGAAGACCAGGAAGGATCTGCAGCCCACTGCAGCACAGCAGTGTTCTCAGAGGAAACAAGCAACAGCACATACAGCCCAGCTATGCTGGGTGGCCAATTTGACCTACTTATTATTCCTCTGTAACTTCCTTACCAAACCTCCCTGGAGAGTGATCTACAGACAGGTAAGACCAGACATTTTGGGGGTAAGAACAAGAAAAAGTTGTTGGTAGCTTTTATTTTAATTATTATTTTTAAGCTTCATTACGTGTAATAGCAATTTCTGCTCCAGAGAGCTGCACACAGACTCAACCATCCAGTTCACCTGAACCATGGATTTGTGTGTTTGAGTGCCTGCTTCCTACGCTGGGTTTGAAAGTGCTTAAATCCTGAGACAAAGGGACACATGGCAGATTTACAATAAAAATTAAAATCAGACCCCTAAATGTAGAAAGAGGAATCAGTGTGAAGCTCTGCAAGTACAAGAAATACACCATAGCAGGGGTGTGAGGCAGCCTATTGTGCTTCAGTGCTGAGCAAGATGGGGCCTGGGCCACACAGGTGTTTTACATGCTCACTCAGTGTTTCCCAGGCAGATAGCACAGGAGTCTGAATCCCACCACTCGGCTTAGCTGCATGAACTGAGGAGCTCAAGAGCTGATTTTGTATGTCTGTGCACAGACACCAGCACAATCCACTGTGCTAAGGCAAAGATACAAAAAGACTGCACATTACCTGTCAGCTTGGTTTTCAGCAACTACACCTGCTTTCTACTTCTAGAAAATAGGTGATCCTTAATCTAACTAGCTACAGCCCTGGATTTCAAAATAAAAAGATCCCTGATACATTGAAACAACACAAAAAAATGTATCTGTGGCTTCTAGCATTACTAAAACCAGTTAAGCAACAGCACAGACTGTACATTGACAGTTAGGAAGCTATGGTAGAAACTCATAAATGCAGTTAGAAAGTTTCTATTCTTAGTCTGAATTTGGATACTTCTCTCTTGTATACATAGACCACGGCTTAGAAAGTTAAATAAAATCCATTTCCTTATATAGCAGAAAGCTTTTAGGCTACAAGCATCCCATACCAGAAGGATTTTCAGCCTAAAAATTACATTATGATGACAATTCAGACATTAATTCTTTGTTTAAGCCATGTGGATTGAGTAGTTCTTAAAACACAATACTTTTAATAAAAATTATAATGAAAAATAAATCCAGGTATGTATAGAAAGGGATTACAGAAAAGTCTCTCTTTAGGAGGCAGAAAAGGAGTTGAATAGAACTTATTGAGAATTTATAGAATTTTATAGTCCACGATGCATGTTTCTTCTATTTTTCTTAAGGATTATCCTACAGTATAGCAAACGCTTTGCCCCATACTGAACTCTGCGTGGCTAATAAAAATCTGCACAAACATACATTTGTATAAAGATTCACTTTCTTGTATCAAGGCCTTTAAAAAAAAAAAAAAAACAAAAACAAACAAACTAAAAAAAACAACAACAAATCAGTGAACTTTCTAGAGATTCAGCTGGGCATGGAAGGTTTCACTTCCTAAAACACCAGAAAACACCATTTCAGTAGTGCTCTTTTACAGGATATACCTACTTCAGTTCAACTGTTAGCAAACGGGGACAAACGTCCT